CTAGATGCTTGATTATCCAGAAGTCTATTGTTCTCTCCTCTAAAAGTAAATAGATATATGAGTGGGAAAGTGAGACCTGACAGATACAAAGCAAATAACAGCGGCAAGGAACGAACCTTCCCGCTTCGACATCCTTTTTACGATCTCGTGGAGCTCGTCCAAGGCAGTTGATGCAGAAGCAAGCGATAAGGCCACATCGATTCGTTGAGTAGCAGATCAGGTCAATGATGATGAGGATGACTAGCAGCGATAGTCCAACAATGATTGGCAGTTTTGGCGTCAGGAAAGACTCCGTAGATGATAGTGGTGCATCTAAAAGGTATTATCCCGATATCTTACTATCAAATCAACATTATACTCAACATACCATCCGTATCTACTTCAATCTCTTCAATTTCTCCAACTCCAATAGAGTTAATCGCAGAGACGGATACTCGGTAAGAGGAGTGCGGGCGAATATGAGTTAATTCAAGAGATCTTTCTTCACCACCAACTTCCACAGTGAACGCATTTCCTATGTTCTGTTCCTGAATCAATAAACCATGTATGACTAACATACATATAACATAGGGCCTTCATGAAAGTATGAAATACCAAATAATTTTTACCTCGCCAGTTTCCTCATTTTCAATGTATTCCTGGATTCCCACTCGATATGCAGTAATCTCTGATCCGTGATCGTTTGGCTCATCCCAAAATACGGTACAGACTTGATCACATTCCATTCGAACGTGTTCTGGCTTTTTCGGAGCTAAAAAAAACTTGTCTAGTATCAATTATTACTACTGAGATCATCTCGAATTCAAAAAGAACCGACCCCAAGGATCAGTCGTCTCCATTACTGTCGGCTGGCAGAAATCGCTCTCGCCAGCCTCATTAATTGCTCGCGCGCGAACTGAGTATTGGGTATTTGGAGTTAGATTCCTGACAACCATTTCTTCGGCATCTGAAAAGGATGAAGTTGTAGGAAACAGTACAGGCACAAGTCTAAAAAGATTCATGGTAGCCTTACCAAAATCTACCGAGATCACACGAGCTTCATCCCAGTCCATATCTCCCAAAGAACTATCACCTATTTCCAAAATCTTAAAATGAATACAATAATCACCATTATTAGAAAAAATTTATTAAATGAGACCATACCTGGAATTCCATTCGAGAAGGTCGCTGCGCATAGTCACTGTACAACTCATGGCCTATAGAGCACTTACCATAATTTGGATACAAACGTTTCTTGCAGTCAATACCCTCAGGAATAGCAGGTGGAACTAGAATAAGAATCACAAAATAAATGAGGATCAATGTATTAGATGTCTTCAAAAGTGCACTCACAAACTTGGATGACTTCAATCGCTTTAGTGAAAATTCCCACGCCATTGTCTGCTTTACAAGTATAACTTCCATAATTTCTTCCGGCACTGTTCTGCAGAGTCAACCTCGAGCGTCCCTCCACACTCTCGATGATAATGGATGAACCATCAGCTTCTACCTGAAACAATCAAATAAACAGTCTGTTACTACTGTGTAAATGTAAAACGCGCCTCATTTCCGTCTCTGAGCCAAATCCATGAAGGGCTCGGGACAGCAGAAACTTCACAAAATAGGTGAATGGTGTTACCATCGAAAGAGCGGACTTGGTCTTCCGATGTTCGTCGAAGAATTGGGGGGTCTAAAGTATAGCTTCTTTTCTCGTCATTAAGTCTTAAGGTCCGCGAAACGAGATATGCGTTTCTTAACTTTACTATTTGGAACACATGACATTAATGCTTGCAGAAAAATGTGTATGCATACTTTCATAGGCACTCAGAATTCAAAAAAAA